ATGCTAATAATGATGATGAAGAAAGTGGAGTAAAAGCAGGCCTCCTTCACCTGCCATGAGATACACTTCTAGGCCAGTGCACCCCAGACTTCTTCCTCCCGCTTTCCAGGTGTGACCAGTTTGGGAGGTCGGAGAAAAGGTTGCAAGGGGACTGGTCCTTGCTGAGGTTAGCCTCTCCTTCCACTCACACCGTTTCCTCCAGTTTTCACTCTCACTGGTGATTCAGGAGACTGTCAATCTTCAGAGAAAGTCGGCAAACATACTGACAGTGTGCCTTTTGTCTCCTTCCTGTGCCAGCATGGGATGATGGGAAGATCCGAGCCTTTGCTCCAGAGACAGGTCGGCTGATATACACCATTAACAGTGCTCACAGGATTGGAGTAACCGCCATTGCTACCACCAGTGACTGCAAACGGATCATCAGTGGCGGAGGAGAAGGGGAGGTACACTTCTAAATGACATTTTAAAAAAAAAGTCTTTAACTTAGAGCAACTAACTCAAAGGAGGCTATCCATTGTTCATTTTGATTTTCTTTTTTAGTTTGAAATTTTATTTATTTATTTTTTATGAGTACGGGCATTTGCATGCATGTACGTAGAAGGAACTCTAATTGTTCTTAATAATAACAACCCGGACTCAGATATTAGGGGGTGAAGCTGAGAGATGAGAGAAGCAGGCAGCCTGAGGAGTCAGTGTGAGCAGGCAGTCTGAGGATCAGTAGAGACAGGATGGCCCCTTCGGTCTGGGCACTGGTGGAGGTGAAAAGTCGCCCTAGTGGCTGCACCCCTTCTCTGACCCTTCGGCTTTCACCCCCTGATATCCGACTCTGGGTTTTATTCATTAAGTCTAATTAGAATTTGTGCTCCCCATGCATGGCGTGTGTGGGCAGTGCCCCAAGAGGCCAGAAGAAGGCATGGAATCCCCTGGGACTGTAGTTACAGGCCATTGCTAACTGCTGTTTGGCTCATGGGACTCAAGCCCAGGTCCTCTGGAAGAACAGCCAAGACATCTGTCAGCCTCTGCATTTCATTTTGAAGTATGTACCCGCGCTAGAATTCAGAAAGGGTCAAATTAAGATTTTTGACGAGATCGTAAAATACATCATGAATTCAAGTTCTAATGCTTTAAACAGACATTCAGTCTACCTGTTTACAGAAAGGGTGAGTAAGAAAAAGACAGGAAAACAGCCTGTTTGGAACCAAGCTGGGGAAGCAAGTTAATGAGTTGCCGGTTTGACAGACTCGTTCTTTCCCCCAAGAACCATAGCTGAATCAGTTGTCTTCGTCTGACCTCTTAAAGAAGGTGATAGAGAAACAGTTCGTTAACACAGGCATTAATTTTAACTTTTAGACAAGAGTTCACTATGTGGCCTCCGGCTGGCCTGAAACTTGCAATGTAAACCAGAGCGGCCTTGAATTCACAGAGATTCCCCCCCCCCTGACTCTGCCTCCCAAATGCTGGGATTAAAGGTGTGTGACACCATGCCAGCTTTGACTATTGTTTTAATGTTGCTACATTCAACTTTGTCTTCAAATTATTTTGAAGATCTTAAAAGCATTTTATTCTCAGGTATATTTAGGGTCTCTCTTTCTATGTCCCCATTTTTTTTCTTTTGAATCCCAAAGCTTTGTTTTCGTCTACATTTTTCCCCCTTTGAATTCCAAAGCCTTGTTTTTGTTTACGTAGGGGGAGTTCCCCTCCTTTCTCTTCTCAGCTATCATAGGAAGAGTTTTTCAGAGAAAAGACCCAGCATCTCGGGGAAACCCTTGGGAAAATCTGGGCAAGTGAGGTGAATGGCTGGGCTGAAATGTCCCCTCTTCCAGCATGTAACACGGACTGTGACCTCTCTGTGCCTCGGAGCCCTGAAGTATACTGAAAATAGCCACATTCTTACGGAAAAAACATACTCCTCTCTGCAAAATGTGTGTGCGCGTTTACCATCGGAGCCCTGCTATCTGACCAGCCCACGTCTCTTTCCTGCTCTGTGCCCCATAGCCTCCCGCTGGCTTGGTCCCTTCCCTCACCACTTCCACCACGCTTGCTCGCTCTTGTCCGCATCTCCACATCCTCACTTGCTCCCTCATATGTCAGGAGCTTTTGTCTTGCTGGTGTCCAAACCTGTCCAGACCATGTGAGCTACAGTCACTTGAGTTCACTTTGGGAGAAAGAAATCACACTTTGCACTTGCATTGTTTGGCCTACTGGTTAGACTTTCCAAGTCCCTCCCTCAACCCTCATTCAGCCATTGTAGATTCCCCTCATATACTTTCCAGACTTTTAATTTTTTTAAATTTTAACTTATTTTTTGAGACAGGTTTTTGTGTGTGTGTGTGTGTGTGTGTGTGTGTGTGTGTAGCCCTGGTTGTCCTGGAACTCTCTCTGTAGACCAGACTGGCCTCAAACTCAGAGACCGGCCTGCTTTTGTCTCCTGACTTTAGGGATTAAAGGTGTGCATCACCATACCCAGCCTCTGTACTGATTTTCTAAAATGTTTTCATTTTGAGATTAATATGACATAATCACCCCCCTCCCTTTCTTCCCTCAAAACCCTCCCAGATATGTCTCCTTGTGCTTTTTCAAATTCATGGCTTCTTTTCCCAGTAATTGTTGTTATATGTGTATACACACACATATGTATATATGTATATGTGTATATATATATATGTATATATATTCCTAAATTTTAAAATTATGTGTGTAGGCAATTGTATTACTTATGAATTTCATTTCAGGAGAATAAGCAGGCATTGGAAAATATTTACCATAGAAAATGGATATTGGGTTCCAGTTCAGTTCACTACCATTGCTCAGGAGCTCACCCCAAGTCCAAGGTGGGCTATATAGTGGGGCTCTGTCCCCATATATAAAGGACAATGGCAATTAGATTCTCTGAGGCTGAATATCACTGGTTTCCAATGACTAAAACCGAACAGCTGATGTGAAAGTTTAAATATGGCTTTGGGTAGCTGGAGCTTTCCTGATGGCAGGAGAAATTTGAGAGCAATGCTCAGCAGAAGCGAGGAGACAGGTTCTTTCTTTGGGCTTAGAAGCCCTTGCAATATTGATTCTCGTAGTGGGAGCCTGATCATTTTCTCTGTCTGAAAGTAGAAGCAGGTCTGAGGTTGGAAGCAGCGCCATGCACACCTGGTGGGATGCCGATCACATTTTGTACACGCCCCTGCCCCGAAGAGTTGCATTCCCATCCTGCCTGGCTGAAGTGGGAAAAGGGAATTAAACGGTCACACCCAGCAGAGAGGGAAACACTCCCCGGGTCTTCCCCAATCCCTTCCAAAGGGGTTTGTGTTGCTAGCCTGTGCTTTGGGGCCCACAGGTAAGGGTGTGGCAGATAGGCTGCCAGACCCAGAAGTTGGAGGAGGCGCTAAAGGAGCACAAGTCTTCTGTGTCCTGTATCAGGGTGAAGAAGAACAATGAGGAGTGTGTCACTGCCAGCACCGATGGGACGTGCATCATTTGGGACCTTGTGTAGGTACCTGGGATGGCTAGGAAGGTTAACACAGCACTTACAGAGGTCCCAGCATCCTGCTAAGCACAGCAAAGATCCCAGAGGGGTGTATTAGTTTACTTCCTTGCTGTTGGGACAAAATATTTAACAAAAGCAACTTAAGGAGTTGGGAAGTAAAGGGTTTATTTTGGCTCATAATTTAAGAATACTGTTCATTGTGGTGGGGAGGCATGACAGCAGGGTGTGAGGTGACTGGGCATGTTGTGTCTGAAATGCATGTGGTTCACGACTTGCTTTCTGCCTTAAAGTGTTTTTTTTTTTTTTTTTTTGGAGGGGGACTGTTTGTTTATTTATTTATTTATTTATTTATTGGACTTTTAAGACAGGGTTTCTCTAGCTTTGGAACCTGTCCTGGCAATTGCGCTATAGACCAGGCTGGTCTTGAACTCATAGAGGTCTGTCTGTCTCTGCCTCTGGAGTGTTAGGATTAAAGGAGTGTGCCACCACCGCCCGATTTTGTATTTTTATTTTACACCTATGGGTGCTTTGGCTGCATGTATGTCTATGTGCCACATGTATGCCTGGTGCCTGCAAAGACCAGAAGAGGGCACCACATCTCCTGTAGTTGGAGTTACAGACAGTAGTGAGCCACCATGTGGGTTCTAGAAACTGAACCTTGGTCCCCTGGTTCTCTGAAAGAGCAATCAATGCTCTTTACCACTGGGTCATAGATCCAGTCCCTCACTCTGCTTTTTAGATAGTTCAGGATCCCAGCTCATGGAATAGTGTGCATCCAGATGGTCCTTCCTACTCAGTTGACCCTCTCTGGAAGCATTTTCACAGACATGCCAGAATGTGTATCTCCTAGGTGATTCTAAATCCAGTCAAGCCAACGATCGAGATTAACCACCCCTAATAAAAGCTTCTTAGAAGGCCTTGGACTCCCTGGCTGTCCAAGGGTTATAGATGCCAGTGGGGGAAATATGGTCTCCAGGAAGAACCAAATATCAGAAGTTTCTGGACAGACAGGGAAGTAGTTTTCCAGATACATGCAGTGAAGCATGATCTAATGCAAATCCATTCAACCTAAATGTTGATCATTAACAAGGAAAGTTATAGGGCAGGCAGTTCCTCATGTCATCTTGCTAGGTCACGAGCCTGCCCTGGGAGGGAGAGGCATCCCCTCATTTGACCACATTCCAGGGACTGCTTACACTACGAGTAAACCACAGACCCATAGACGATGGCAACGCCTAACGGTGTGGGCCAAAACATGTAAACTTCATCAAAGGAGCATTCAGAGAATTGTCAAAGATGACTTTTAAAATTTTTTTTGACTGTTGGGATTTTTGCTCTGTTTTTATTTTGGAATCAAACCTTCACCCCACCCCCACCCCAATCCTTCGACCCATCACCCTTCTATCACCCTGGGGATGCATGGCATTTGCATAATTGTCTAAAGAGTTTGAGTTAAGTACAGAGGGGAAAAGGAGGTAGAGCTGGTCAAAGATTATGTCCCTTCTTTTTTGAGATGGGGTACCATTGTGACGTCCACGCCGGTCTTGACTCCTCAGGCTCAAGAGATCCTTCCACATCAGCCTCTCAAGTAGCTGTGGAGTAAAGGCCTGTGTCACCATGCCCAGCCGGAATGTTCCCACTTAGAGGGAGGGGAGTGAGGACTGAAAGCAAAACACAACACTTTAAACTAATACACTAAAGAGCGCAAAGTAGGGCTGTGGATACAGTCTAGCTGGTGGCGTGGAAGCACAAGGACCCGGTTTCAAATCCCCAGAACTCACATAAAAGCCAGGCACGGCGGTGCATGCCTGTGATCTCAGCACTTGCGAGGGAGAGACAGAGGATCCTGAGAGTTTGCTCTAGCTGAACCAGTCAGCTCTAGGTTAGAGCGAGGGAGAGAGAAAGAAAGAGAGAGAGAGAGAGAGAGAGAGAGAGAGAGAGAGAGAGAGAGCCTGTCTCAAAAAAGCATAAGGTGGAGGGTGCCTGAGGAAGACAATCAATGTCAAGTTCTGGCCTCCACCTGCACAGTCACACACATGCATGCACACCTGCACACACACACACACACACACACACACACACACACATCCCAAAGCACAGTGAGCTCTTATTTTCTCGGTGGGCCTGACTCCCTACTCAGATCTCCAGTCACTGGGAGATCTTGTTTATATGCTTCTTTGGGGTTTTTTTTTTTTGGTTGTTGTTGTTGTTTGTTTTGTTTTGGAGACAGGGTTTCTCTGTGTAATAGGCTGTCCTGGAATTTGTTTCATAGACCAGTCTGTCCTTGAACTCAGAGATCCACCTGCCTCTGCCTCCCAAGAGCTGGGATTAGACAGCTTTTCATTGAATAGATTTAGAAGACACCCGTGCTTCTGCATGTCTAATAAGTTCCCGTGTGGTGTTGCTGGGCTAAGGCCTAGCCCCATGGACACATGACTTTCCCACTGGGAAAATGTGTACTGAGAAGGGGTATCTGGGTTTATTTTAGTGGCTGGCTTGTGACTGCCTCACATCTTTAACACCTTCCTTTTGTGCAGCAAGCATATTTAATTTGTGCCAAAAATCTTTAAAAATCCTCCGCTCAAACCCTGTGTTTGAAAGCTTCCATTACGAGAAGAAACTGCAGAAGGTGCATTTTCAGCCAGGAGCTGGGCCCGTAAGACAGCCACAGGCGTACCAGCTCCGGAAGAAGCAATTCAGCCGTGCTTCTTGGACAGGCTTAGCATCCCTAATCTTAAGACCCAAACACCCAAAAGCCCAAAACCTTTACGTTTCTTTTTGCCTCATGTCAGTACTGACAAAAGTTTCAGATTTTCCACTTCCATTTTTCAGATCAGGGATGTTTAGCCAGAAAGCCTATGCATATTCCTGAATCCACCAAAGTCTGAAGTAGCCTAAGCTTGCCTACAGTGTCCAAGGCAAGAGGTTCTCAAACTTGTGTTGTGTCTGCACACAACCATCAGTGGGAAGGCTGGTTTCAAACACATACATATCTCTGGGCCTCCATCACAACCTTCTGATTCCAGAACCTTAGGGGTGGGCCCAATAATATCCATTAGAACAGTCTTTCCCCACACTTTGCCGCTCCGCTTACAGGGGTGCCACTTGGCTCCAACGGTGGCCTTGAGACTCCAGACAGGTGGTAGTTTGGCTCTGAATTCAGCATCTTCTACTTCCTTCTCCCTGGAACTTGTGGTCTCTCTAGTTTTATGCTCTGTCTCTAGAAGGGGGTACCATTCTTAGCCCTTGTCTTCTGACTCTTGCTGACGCTTCTGGTGGGAGGAGACGTAAGAACAGAGCAGAATAGTCAGAAGGCTACTTTACAATTTAAAAAAACAAAACAACAACCAAAAAACCCCAACCATATGTGTGTATACACGTGAAGCCAAAAGAGGGCATCAGATTTCCTGGAGCTAGATTATAGGCAGTTGTGAGTGGCCTGATGCCAGTTCTGGGAACCAAACTCAGGTCCTTTGCAAAGAGCAGCACATGCTCCTAAACTGAAGCTCCAGTCCCCCAGTGTCTGTATTTGACAAAAACCAAACCAAACCAGGTGCGACCGTGCGAGCAGCAGGAGAAGTCTAAGAAAACCCAGCCCCATCCAAGCTCGCCCAGCTGCACGGCACATAATAAAAACGTTTTCTAGGGGAGGGAAAAGTCGAGTTCCAGAGTGTTTGAATCTCCTTTTCAGGCGACTTAGGAGGAATCAGATGATCCTGGCCAACACCCTATTCCAGTGTGTTTGTTATCACCCCGAGGAATTCCAGATCATCACCAGTGGCACAGACCGGAAGGTAAGCACAGACGGCCCCCCACCATCCAGAGTCAGTCAACCGGGAATGCCTGCAAATGTTTACAGGTGGGGTGAGGGGTGGGTGGATTGCATCCTTACTGAACAATTTCTTAAAGTACAGCGATAGAGGATGTGCATAGGTTATATGTAGATAGTGTGTCATCTCACATAGAGGTTAAAGCATGTTTGCATGTTAACCCCCATGGGTGCTACTATGGCCCGACATTAACAGTCCAGAGGACTGATTCTCCTTCTCAGCATCCGTCTCTCCCAGCTTGGTGTCCCATTTCCAGGCAGAGAACAAGGTTAGGTGTCCATTTTCTTTAAATCCCACCCTATGGAATATGTTGTCGCTTTGGGCCAGAAAGGCAAGTTAGGGTCTAGTGAGGGATAAAAGTGACATAGGGTCCAGTCGGACTGGCACAAAGCCCCGTCCCCCAAACCCTGCCAGAAAGAACTCTCCCTCCCACCAGGCCTGCAGTTTGGCCCTCATCCTCAGAGCGCAGAAGCAGATTTCCCCAGTGGTACTTCCCTTCTTTATTTTACATGTTGCAGCAGACCCAATCTGCTTTGCCTTATCAAAAAATCTCTTTCTGTCACTATCCAGGTTTATGGCATATCAACATCTCTTTAAATAGCATGCAAATTTCAAAACCAATACTAAAAATAATAAAATGGTTTCTCCACCCCCTCGCCATGGCCTATTTATAATTCCAACTTATCCCCTCCCAGGGTGTATTTTTGCTACCTTCTATATAAAGTGGAAGCATCTTTTGCGAGCATGTGTGTGGATGGTTCCACTGCACCGACTTCTGTCTGATGCCCTTCTCCTCTATTCCAGATTGCCTACTGGGAAGTATTTGATGGGTCAGTAATCAGAGAGCTGGAAGGTTCCTTGTCTGGGTCGATCAATGGTATGGACATCACTCAGGAAGGAGGACACTTTGTGACAGGTTAGTCCCAGTCCCAAATAAGGTAAGAAAACTCCCAGGGTTCCTTATTTCAGAGGACAAGGAAGTCTTAGGTGAGAGTCAATGAGAAGAGCCAGTAGAGCATCTCAAGGACACCTTGGTTAACATTCAGCCCCAACAGCCCACCACCATGGCTGGAAAAGTCACACTTCAATGAGGGAAGACATTTGGACAGGGCAAAGAGAAAAGACAAGCTTGACATTGTGAGGTCTGCTCTTTGGAGCAGAAATGAGTCTTCAAATCTCTTGAGCCTTTGAGTTGCTTTCCTCTACGTTTTTGGTTGTTTTTATTGTTTTTGTTTTGATAGGATCGTGCTGTATGTAGCTCCCACTGGCCTCGAATTTGTGATCCTCCTGCCTCAGACTCCTGAGTGCTAGGATATGAGGTAGGCCACCATTCCCAGCTCCTCTGCTGTCTTTTTTTACTTACGTATGAGCCACCAGTTTTTTGTTTGTTTGTTTGTTATTATTGAAGAATGTGATGCCTCAATTCCTTCCTGTGAATGAACTAGTTAATATTTTTGGGGGCATTTACCACAGGACATGGCCACTAGAACAGCATTAATACAATTTCCTGCCAGGCTCTTTGATTCTTCAGGACATTAATAAGTGCATTAAAAAAAAGTTCCATAAGCACACTGACTTAGAAAAAGATATTAAACCAGACACAGTGGGATGCTAATACATACACAGGTGTGCTTGTACACCTCTGCATTTGTGGAGAAAAGAGTGGAAAGATCGATCAACAGTTAGGGTGTGGTGGCGGTTAGTTCTTGGTGGCATTTTCCTTTGCATTCTAAATTTATTACAACATACAAAGACTTTTTTTTTTTAGGTCAAGAAAAAGCTTTATATAATAGTGGATTTTTCTTTCTTCAAGCTGTATCATATGGGGGAATGTGTTGAAAATGAAGCACTTATGTGAGGTCGGGGCTGTTTCACTATTCTATGTCAATTAATTGTCATGTAATTGTCTTTCAGGTGGACATGACCATCTGGTCAAAGTTTGGGATTATAATGAGGGTGAAGTGACTCACGTCGGGGTGGGACACAGTGGCAACATCATGGGCATCCGGGTAAGTCCAGGAAACCAGTACATCGTCAGTGTGAGTGCAGATGGAGCCATCCTGAGATGGAAGTACCCATTTGCTTCATGAAGTATGAGGGTTCCCCAGCCTCCACCCTGTACCGAGCACAGCCCTGCCCAAGGCCAAGTGTGGATTGGCTCCAGCACCAGCCATGATTTCTCACGGCTACTTTCATTCTGTAGTCGAAATCCTTTATCTTGAAGTTTCTCCTTTCCTTCACAGTCTTACATTGTACGTTGAAACTGAACTGTTATAGAAAAAATTTGTTCAGAATATAATTTGTTGAGTTTTTAATTATTAATAAATTTGAAGGTGCTGTTTTCTGGCCATAATCTCTTTTTTTATGTCTCCCCAAATCCACAGGCATTCTTCCTGATCTGTCCCCAGGGAGGGATGCTATTTTCTTGTAAAAATAAAATGAATGTGTGTGGTCATGGGGATGGGACTAGGGCCTCAGGCATTGCTAGGTAAGTGTGGCTCCACTGGGCTATCTCCCTAGCTCAAACCTACCCTTTAATTGATCAGTTCATTGGTGAAGCAGCGTGAGCGACTAGGTTTGAACCCACATTTTCGGGCAGGTGTATTGGTTACTTTCATATAGCTGACCACATACCCGATGGAAACAACATAAAGTATGACTTATTCTGGCACAGTGTTTCACATGGTTTGATCCATGATGGCTTTGCCCCTGGCTGGCACTTGAGCGGAACCACACAGTGAAGCTCACGGATGCCCATCACCCCAGGCAGGAAGGAGAGAGGAAGCCAGTGCTCACCCCCTTTATTTACTCTAGGTCCCTGATTCATGTTACGGTAGCGCTCATATTTAGAGTGAGTCTTTACCAACTTAATTAATTCTCTCAAGAACCACCCTTGCAGTCTCACCCAGAGGTACCCTTCAGTCTCTTAGGTGATCTTTAAAAATTATATTTCCTTGTTTATTTATTGTGTGTGAGCATATGTCCATGCTACAGCACATATATAGTGCCAGCGGACCATCTGGGTGGCCAGGTCTTCCTTTCCATCACGTGGTTCAGAGATCAAACTCGGGTCCCCAGGCTTGGTAGCAAGCACCTCTACCTGCTCTACTATCCCAAAGGCCCTCCTAGGTGATTTCTTAATGTGATCAGATTAACTATCACAATTAGCCTACACAACGAGCTCATAAAACAATTTCAGCTTCAGTTTTCTACTTGGCCAAGTAAGAATAAATTTCCACTCGGACATTTATTGTGAGACGCGAGGGAGCTGAACTGGTGATGCTTCAGCGGCATTCCCGACAGAGTTAAACACCAAATGCTTCCTAAGTTGTGTTAGCCAGGCGTGAAGGCACACACCCAGGATTCCAGCACTCGGGAGGCTAAGGTTGAAAGACTGAGTGTGCCAGACCAACCCGGGCTACACAAGTTGATACAGACTCCATTTCACCAACCCCCAAGCCAAAACAAAGCCAACAAAACCCCTAAACTGTTACCCAACAATCCCCCCACCCCCAATAAATCCCCGTGTGTTACTGAGCATCTTGGAATGGTCTCCAAGGTGAAATTCTGGAGATGACTCATTAGAGCTGGCCAAGACCACGACACCTTCAATACTTACCATCGGCAGGGCGATGAAATGAACCTTATGAATTAATCAACCACGTGGGTATCTCTTTGGGGGGGGATGGTGACCTTTTACACTTTGAGTCTCGGACACTACAGGCTATTCTTTAACCTTAACTTGTGCAGCTTTTTGGCACCGAGTAACTGCTGCAATCCTATGTGAAGATCGAGGAGGATATTTAATAAATGATGACCACTTATTAAATAGCAAGTCACATTTCTGGGTACTGGCGTAATACTGACTCCAGAAAGCTGCTGCTCTCTTTATGAGCAGAAACTGATGAGAAATTCATTTTGCAAGACCTTGCCTGATTAATTATAAACCTGACAGTTATAGGATAAAAGGAGCCCAGGCCTCTAGGGTTACCCAGGGAATAAAGGGCGGGGCAAGGCCAAACTAATTCTGATTGGGTGGCGATAACAGAATTTTGCGTGGAGGAATGAAACAGCAACCGGGTAGGGGGCGCGCCTGAGACCCGGCAAACTTGCTGCCGAGCAAATTCTGGGGTTGTAAAGGGCTTGAACTCGGCAGTGCACCCAGCGGGGGTCGAGTTCCGGTTTCTCTCATTTCGTTGCCTTAACCGCTCTGAGCTCCCTTCACCGATGAAAACCAAGACGATCAAGTCTCCCAAGTTTTTGGAAAATGACTGTATCCTAGTGTGAAAAAAACAAACAACAGGAACAACAAGATAAAGAAAAGCAAACCTAACCCACTAGTACTCCCAGTTCTAGTGCAGAGACGGGTGCAGGCAAAGCCTGCAAAGGAAGTGGCGCCACCTGACCGCACACACCTGAACCTGTGCTCCCTACCGGCACAGCTGCCAGCGCGCTCCTCTCGGCAAACCTGAGTCACCCGGGACACCGCTCGCCGGTCATTTTTCGTCGTCTTCACCTGGCTCCCAAGACCAGAAAAACTTAACCAGAGCCTGGGCTTTGCTTTCCAACCCCCGGGTTGTCTCCGCAGCTTAGGGATGGGCGGAGAAGGCGAACAGAGGGGAAAGGCCTGTTCCAAGGCGGGAAGGAAGGGCGGGCAAGTCCACTAGGCGGGCTCTAGGGGATTGCATTCCCAGTCGGGGCCGCGGGGGCGGGAGCCCAGCGGCGGGCGCTGCCCCAGGGCCGGATTCCCGCGCGGGGTGG